ACAAAAAATGGAAAAATGTCCTTGGGTGAGGATAAAAAAAAAACAAAACAAAAAAACGTTAGGGAACAAAATAAAAAATATATACATTTGGTCTTTTATCTTTACCTACATATTTACCATTTTTTCTTATATCTGTGTTATTATCTGATGTTATTTTTTTTTTCATTCTGAAGGACTTTTTATTATTTCCTGTAGTACAGGTATGTTTGCAGCGAATTCTATCATTTTTATTTATCTGAAAATGTCTTTTTCACTTTAGTTTTTTTTTTTTCCCTCACTCGACATTTTTCCATTTTTTTGTTCAGGTAGAGTGGGAGGGAGAGAGAGGAACAGAGAGAGAGAAACATCGATGTGAAAGGAACACATCGAGTGGCTGCTACCCGCACGACCGACCAGAGCCGGGGACAAACTGCAACCGAGGTACGCGCCCTTAGCGGGAACCGAACCCGGGTCTCTCAGGACCACAGGTCGACGCTCTAACCGCTGAGCCAAACCGGCCAGGGTCACTTTAGATTTTGTTGTTATTGTTGTTAATCCTCAACTAAGGATATTTTTCCATTGACTTTTTTTTTTTTTTAGAGAGGAAGGGAGGAAGTGACTGGGGGGGTGGAGAGAAACATTGATGTGAGAGAGACACATCGATTGGTTGCCTCCTGCACAATCCCTACCTGGGGCTGGGATTGAACCTGCAACCCAGTACATTCCCTTGACCGGGAATCAAACCCATGACCCTTCAGTAAGCAGACTAACCCTCTAACCACTGACGCACATTGGCTAGGGCTCCACTTTTTTTTTTTTTCTTTTTTAATCTTTATTGTTGGATGTAAAGTGTATTACAGATGGTCCACATTTTTCCCCCATTGACCCTCTCCTCCCCACTCCCGCCCCCCTCCCACCTTTTCCCACACTATTGTCTGTGTCCATTGGTTATGCATATAAGTTCTTTGATTTATTTCTTCCCACCCCCCAACCCCTTTCCCTTTGAGGTTTGTCAGTCTAGCAATGAATTTGTACTTCTTAATCCCTTCACCTTTCCACTTTAGATTTTGAAGTACAGTTTTCTTGATACAGAATTGTTGGTTAACAACTATTTTTTCTTTTAGCACTTTGAATATGTTATTCCATGTCTCTGGCCTCCAGTGTTTCTAATGAGAAGTCAGTCATTGAAATCATTGTTCCCCTATATGCAATGTGCCCCTTTTTTTAATAGTTAATTAAAAAAAATTTTTTTTCCTTTATTGATTTTAGAGAGAAAGGAAGGGAGAGGGAGAGAGAGACAGAAACATCAATGAAGGAGGACATCAATTGGCTGCCTCTGCATGCCCCCCACTGGAGATCTGGCCCACAACCTGGGCATGTGCCCTGACCAGGAATCGAACTGGCAACCTCTTGGTGCATGGGTCAGCGCCCAACCACTGAGCCACACCAGCCAGGCTTAAAAATTTTTTTGAAGTTTTTTTTTTTTTTTGATCTTTAGAGAGAGGAAGGGAGACGGAGGGGGGGAGAGAGAGAGAGAGAAACATCAGTTGGCTGCCTCTTGAGCCCACAACCCAGGCATGTGCCCTGACCAGGAATTGAACCAACAACCTTTCAGTGCCAGGACGATTCCCAACCAACTGCACCACACCAGTCAGGGTCAATGTTCCCTTTTAATCCTACTGCTTTCAAGATTTACTTTTCATCTTTGGCTTTCAGAAGCTTGTGATATGCCTAGCTGTGCTTTTTCCTTCTGTTTATCTTACTTTGGATTTGTTGAGCTTCTAAGATCTGTAAATTAATGTATTTTACAAAATTTGGATAGCTTATGGTCATTTAAGTACTTTTTCTGTCCCTTTCTCTCACTCATCTTCTGGAAATCTAATACACGCTAGACCTCTTGATACTGTCCAACAGATCTCTGACGTTGTGCTTCTTTATCTTCAATATTTTCTTTATTTTCTGGGTTGGATTATTTCTAGTGTTTAACTCACATTCACTGATTCATTCTTTTGTCATTTCAGATTTTCTCTTGAGCCAATCTAGTACATTTTTTTCATTTCAGTTATTATGCTTTTCAGCTCTAGAATTTTCACATGGTTTTATAGTTTCCATTTCTTCATTGAGATTCCCTTTGTGTTTACTCAATGATGTTATTTTTACTTTGATCGTATTTATAATAGTTACTTTAAAGTTATTGTCTGTTAAATCCAACACACAGGCCCTCACAGAATCAGTTTCTAAGGACTGTTTCTTTTCTGAGTGAGTCATACTATTCTGTTTCTTTACCTCATAACTTTTGGGTGAAAATGGACAATTGCAGATTATCTTCGTAGAATTCTGAAATGTTTTGTTTTTCTGAGGACTGTTGGGTTTTATGTTTTAGTAGGCAGTTAATTTGCCTGATCCAACCAGCAAAATTGTCTCCCCCACAGTATGTAGTAGGTGGTGTTTCTGCACAGGTGTTTTTGGCTACTAACTGCTGCTTCTTTAGCCCCTCCCACACTCCACCCCCAGAGGTCATTCAGCCTTTGCAGTTTTGTGGTCAGCCAAGGATTTGGACAGAATATATATTCAGAAATAGGGGTTTGCCTGCTTAGTGTTTCTCTTGCTGTATGGGTTCTGCCTAGATTTCTACTTGTCTTTCCAGTCCCAAGTCTGACCTCTGCCATCTCAAGCCAGTCAGGCTTCTGCTAGCAGAAGCTCACACTGTATACAGTTTGGGGAAAGCATTCAGTCAAAGGCACCAGCAACTCCCACATCTCATGGAACCAGAGCAGTTGTGTCTTGCGAGGGTTGACACCCCACCTGAGTTTCTGCTTGCTTTTTTAGCTGGGCTTCCTAGGACCTCCCATTCACTTGCATAGTTTAACACTCAGCTAGGAATTTGGGCAGAGTTTATACTTACATTTTATTTATGTATTCAGTTTAAAGTGAAAGTGAGTTTATTAGTGAAGCAGTGAGAGTATCTATACTCACATTTGTGACTTTCTTGCTTCCAAAATTCCCTTTATATTTCCAGCTTCTCTGTTGTTTTGAACTCTTATCATCTTTACCCTGGAGCTCATAAGGCTGTAATTTTTCTCCCTGAGCTGGAGAGGTTGGGAAGTGCCCTCAGGCAAGAAGGGCACAAACTCACAGTTCTTACTCTTGCATCTTTCAAATATATTTAATTTCTGCCTACTATAGATTATTTGCCAGTACATGCAGATGGTTATTTGTAATATTTTTGTTCTCATTTTTATCATTGTTTTCATTGGAAGGAATTGTCCAACCTCTTTACACTGCCATCATCAAATGTCCCAACCTAGCATGTCTTTCAACAATTTTTAAAAATTAATTTATTTTCCAATTACGGTTGGCCTCCAATATTATATTAGTTTCAGGTATACAAAATAATGATCAGACATTTATATGTCTTACAAAGTGATCACTCTGATAAATTTAGTACTCATCTGACATTATGCAGTTATTACGATATTATTAACTATATTCCCTATGCTGTACTTGACATCCCTGTGATTATTTTTTAAATAATATTTTAAACTTTTTTTTCCCTTTATTGATTTTGAGAAAGAGAAGGAGAGAGAGACAGAAACATCAATGAGAGAAAATATCAATTGGCCACCTCCTGCATGCTTCCCACACTGGGGATTGGGCCCACAACCTGGGTATATACCCTGACTGGGAATCGGACTTGGCAGCCTCTTGGTGCATGGGTTGATGCTCAACCACTGAGCCACACTGGCCAGGCGAAATAATTTTTTATTTCTCAATTACAGTTGACATGCAATATTATGTTAGTTTCAGGTATCTGACCCAATGATTGGAGATTATGTAGCAATTTTATATATAACACTTTGTTATCTCCCAGTTTAACAAAGATGTTTGTCAGGGGCTCCCAGCTTTCCAGCTGGCAAATGAATCTATCCAGATTATTAATATTGTTTTCTTGTTATTCTAGTATCTTCAAGGTTATCTAATTTGTAGCATATTTTACAGTTTTCCCATTTATGGTAGTGATATAAAGTTTTCCTTTTAAATAATATAGCAAAAATTGTGAAGTTGGTATACAAATAATTGATGTTTGGAATACAGTGATTCAATGTACAGTATTATCCTTACCTTAAAACATTGCTTTTAGAGAAATGCTTCTTTCTGCTCCTTCTTTTCTGCCCCTCTCCTTTCTCTACAAAACTGTCAGCTAGAATAAATTCGGAATGCTGACTGCAGGAATGTCCCTGTCCAGAACGCAATTTGTTCCAAGTCTGCTTCTTCCCAAGGTCATTTCTGTCCTACCTTCATTTTTACCTTCATAGCCCCACCTCCTGCCTGAACAAAAGACATTTTAAAGATTGTTCTCTGTGAGTTCCTCTCTCCTCCCATTCTCAAATTATGTTTCAGGGTTATAGTTATTTTTTATATTTAGCATATTGGAATTAGGAGATTACTTCACTGTCAAATTATATTTAGAGAAATAAATATGTATAATTTCCCCCAACCTGTTTCTATATTTAATTTTATTGAGACTTTGAATTCATTGCTTTCATTTTTTTCCTCAAAGGTTTTCACCAAGTAGAAAGAAGAGAAGTAATTAAAATGAACCCCTGTTAAGCACTTTCAGTTTGACTTTTCTGTATATTTACTTTTTTTAAATCCTCTCCCGAGGATATTTTTACATTTATCTTCAGACAGAGTGGGAGGAGAGAGAAAGAGAGAAACATCGATGTGAGAGAGACACATTGATTGGTTGCCACCCACACGACCCCAACCAGGGCCAGGGACGAACCACAACTGACATACGTGCCTTGGCCAAAATCGAACCTGGGACTCTTTGGTCCGCAGGCCGATGCTCTAACTGTTGAGCCAAACCGGCCAGGGCTGTGTATTTACTGTTTATCCAGAGGTAATTTGTTAGTTTTTAAAAAAACAATGGTTTTTAAAGGTTTTGTTGTTTGGAAGTAACAGTGCGTTGGAAGAAATATATGAGACTTAGTCTCATAACATTGATTGTCTGTTATCAGGGAAAAAGGAAAAGCCAAAGAAGTTCACTAAACAACCAAAAAAACAGATGTCTTCACCCTGTAGTCAGAAGAAAGAAAAGTCATTGGAGAAGGTAACTCTAAATTATATACTACTATTCTAAAATTCACATTGAGAAGTAAGCGAGCAAGTATAGCCAAGAAAAATCTGAAAAAGAAGAGTAGCAAATACCATAATGAAATGCTAACAGTGTGAAATGAAGTTCTGTAGAGACTGAGATTAAAGATCTCTAACATATATTGACAGGTGAAAAAAGGAAAGTGCAGAATAGTATGTAGAGTGGCACATTATGCTGCCATTTGTGTAGTTTAGGTGAAGGAATATATATGAATTTATTGTATATACATAAAATATCTCTGGAAAGCTACATAAGAACTTGATAAGGTTTGTTGCCTCTAAGGAATGGAACTGAGTGTTCTGGGGCAGAGGTTTTTTTTACTATATGTACTGTTTGTACCTTTTGAATTTTGAACCAATATTACTTATTCAAAAAATAAATATGTAAATAGACTTTAAAATAAAATAAGATATATAGACTTAAATTTTTAAACAAATTATATAGGGTGGGGCAAACGTAGGTTTACAGTTGTGAGTACTTGAAACACAGAGTTTATTCTTTTTTTTTTTGGTACGTGCCCCTAGTGGAAACTGAACCCAGGACTCTCTGGTCCATAGGCCAACGCTCCAACCGCTGACCAAACTGGCCAGGGTCAGAGTTTATACTTGTATTATTATTAAATATTAATTGTATTATTTTCCATACAAACAACTGTAAACCTACATTTGCCCCACCCTGTATTTTATGGTCTTTTAAAATAATTTGTATTTCCCCATGTCATCAAAGGAAGGGGTAAAAAGCCAGGTAGGAATAAGAGGGCATTAATAACCACAGCTGGCTAACAGAGAAACCATGGATTTTAAAAATGTGTGAAAGCTGGGGTTGAAACAAGTTGCACACGATTACATTGGACAGGTTGTACGTTCATCTTCTTGTTAAGTACTGCAGACACACGAATGGGTGAATTATAAAAGATTGCATAAGCTGGGGCTTCCAGGTCAGGCAGATCATCTGGGTTCATATTCTAGGTTTGTTTTCTGTGCACAATATTCTTAATTTAAAAAAAAATTTTTTTTTTTTATTATTGGTTTTTAGAGAGAGGAAGGGAGAGGGAGAGAGAAACATTGATTGGCTGCTTCCTGAAACTGTTTTATTATAGAGATAATAATAACCTGTCTCACATGCTGTTGTAAGGCTTAAATGAAATAATACTTGTAATACTCCTGGTACAGTATCTTGCACTCGGTAAGTGTAAACTTTTATTATTAACTGTAGCACTAATCAGTAAATATGTTCTAATTAGGCCTTAATGTTTGTCTACTTTTTTTTAGTCAACGTCTAGAGATGTGTCTCCTTTCATGTGAGTATTGCTCCTGAATCCAACAAATGTTCTCTCTGAGAATCAGTGCTGATTTTTGTTTAATTTATCACTAGTGTAAGTATGCAGAAGAATAAGTGGGATGTCACCAGATCATTGAGGTTCAACCAGGATGCACAAAGAGAAGATGGTAAGTTTTATTATTTGGGTAATATACAAGTTAGGTATAAATAACAATAATAGGGTTATATTTATTTATTTTTAATTAAAAAAAAATTTTTTTTTTGTTACAGATGTTTCTCCTTTTTTACCCCATTGATAACCTCCTTCCCAACACCCCCCAACCCCATCCCCAGCTTTGTTGTCCATGTTTATCAGTAATGCGTACATGCATATAAGTTCTGTGGTTTATCTCTTTCCACCTCCTCACCCCCTCTTTTGAGGGATGTCACTCTGTGCCCTACTTCCATGTTTCTGGGTCTACCATCATCCTCAGACTGTTATGTTCATTATATTCCGTATATAAGTGAGATCATGTGGTATTTGTCTTTTTCCGCTTGGCTTATTTCACTTAGGATAATACTTTCCAGGTCCTTCCATGTCGTCTCAAAGGATAAGATATCTTTCTTTCTTACAGCTGCATAGTACTCCACTGTGTATATGTACCACCACTTTTTTATCCATTTGTCTACTGATGGACACTTGGGCTGTTCCCAGATCTTAGCTATTATAAATAGTGCTGCTATGAACATGGGGTACATATATTCTTCCTGATTGGTGTTTCAGGCTTCTTAGGGTATATTCCTAGAAGCAGGATCACTGGGTCAAATGGAAGTTCAATTTTTAATTTTTTGAGGTAACACCATATTGTTTTCCATAGTGGCTGCACCAGTCTGCATTCCCACCAGCAGTGTACTAGAGTCCCCTTTTCTCCACACCCTCGCCAACACTTGTTGTTTGATGATTTGTTGATGGCGGCCATTCTGACAGGTGTGAGGTGATACCTCATTGTTTTAATTTGCATCTCTCTGATGATTAGTGATGTTGAGCATTTCTTTCTTCATATGTCTCTTGGCCATTTGAATGTCCTGTTTGGAGAGGTGTCTGTTCAGCTCCTCTGCCCATTTTTTAATTGGGTTCTTTGTCTTCCTTTTGTTGAATTGTATGAGCACTCTATATATATTGGAAATTAACCCCTTATCTGATATATCATTGGTACTTATGCTCTCCCATACAGTGGGTTTGCCTTTCCATTTTGATGATTGTTTCTTTTGCTGTGCAGAAGCTTTTTAGTTTGATGTAGTCCCATGTGTTCATTTTCTCCTTTGTGTCTGTTGCCTTAGGTGATGTATCAGTGAAAATTCTGCTGCGTATGATGTTCGAAATTTTGATGCCTACATTTTCTTCTAGAATTTTTATGGATTCATGGGTCACATTTAAGTCTTTTATCCATTTTGAGTTTATTTTTGTGTATGGTGTGAGTTGATGGTCTAGTTTCACTTTTTTGCATGTAGCTGTCCAATTTTCCCAACACCATTTATTAAAGAGGCTGTCTTTACTCCACTGTATGCTCTTGCCACCTTTGTCAAATATTAATTGAGCATATTGCCTTGGGTTCATTTCTGGGCTCTCTGTTCTGTTCCACTGGTCTATATGCCTGTTCTTGTGCCAGTACCAGGCTGTTTTGATTACAGTCGCTTTGTAGTATAACCTGATATCTGGTATTGTGATCCCACCTACTCTGTCCTTCTTTTTCAAAATTGCTGTGGCTATTCGGGGACTTTTTTGGTTCCATATGAACTTTTGAAGTATTTGTTCTAGTTCTATGAAATATGTTGTTGGTATTTTGATGGGGATTGCATTGAATCTATAGATTGCTTTGGGTAGTATGGACATTTTAATGATATTCTTCCAATCCATGAACAAGGTATGTGCTTCCACTTTTTTATATCTTCCTCTATTTCTTTTTTCAATGTCCTGTAGTTTTCTACAAATAGGTCCTTTACTTCTTTGGTTAAGTTTATTCCTCGGTATCTTAATTTTTTTGGCGCAATGGTAAATGGGATTGTTTTTTCAGTTTCTCTTTCTGTGAGTTCATCATTGGTGTATACGAATGCTGTCGATTTCTTGACGTTAATTTTGTATCCTGCTACTTTGCTAAATTCATGTATTAAGTCTAGAAGATTTTTGATGGAGTCTTTAAGGTTTTCTATGTGTAGTGTCAAGTCATCTGCAAATAATGACAGTTTCACTTCCTCCTTTCCAATTTGGATCCCTTTTATTTTTTCCTCATGTCTTATTGCTGTGGCTAAGACTTCCAGTACTATGTTAAGTAAGAGTGGCGAAAGTGGACATCCCTGTCTTGTTCCTGTTCTTAATGGAAATGTTTTTAGTTTCTACCCATTGAGTATGATGTTGGCTGTAGGTCTTTCATATATGGCCTTTATTATGTCGAGATATGATCCCTCTATCCCCACATTGCTGAGTGTTTTTATCAGAAATGGATGCTGGATTTTGTCTAATGCTTTTTCACCGTCTATTGATATGATCATGTGGTTTTTATTCTTCATTTTGTTTATGTGGCGTATCACATTTATTTGATTTGCGAATATTGTACCAGCCTTGCATCCCTGGAATGAATCCCACTTGGTCATGGTGAATAATTGTTTTGATGTATTGCAGGGTCCGATTTGCTGGTATTTTGTTCAGGATTTTGGCGTCTATGTTCATCAGGGATATTTGCCTGTAGTTTTCTTTCTTTGTAGTGTCTTTTTCTGGTTTTGGAATTAGAATTATGCTGGCCTCATAGAACGAGTTTGGAGGTCTTCCTTCTTCTTGAATTTTTTGAAATAATTTGAGGAGAATGGGTGTTAGTTCTTTTTTAATGTTCGGTAAAACTCCCCTGTGAAGCCATCTGGACCTAGGCTTTTGTTTGCTGGGAGAGTCTTGATTACCTCTTCAATTTCCTTGGTTGTTATTGGTCTGTTCAAGCTTTCTATCTCTTCCTGGTCCAGTTTTGGGAGACTGTGTGTTTCTAGAAATTTGTCCATTTCGCTTAGATTGTCGAATTTGTTGCCATATAGTTGTTCATAGTAGCTTTTAACGATCCTTTGTCTTTCTGTGGTGTCAGTTGTTACTTCTCCTCTTTCATTTCTGATTTTGTGTATTTGGGTTCTCTCTCTTTGTTTCTTGGTGAGTATAGCTAAGGGTCCATCAATCTTGTTTATCTTTTCAAAAAAACCAGCTCTTTGTTTCATTGATCCTTTGAATGGTTTTTTTTGGTCTCTATGTCATTTATTTCTGTTCTGATCTTTACTATTTCCTTCCTTCTACTTGCTCTAGGGTTTTCTTTTTGTTTGCTTTCTAATTCTTTAAGTTGTGAGGTTAGACAGTCAATTAGAAATTTTTCTTGTTTCTTGAGGTAGGCTTGTAGTGCTATGAACTTCCTTCTCAGAACTGCTTTTGCTGCACCCCATAGATTTTGTGTTGTTGTGTGTTCATTTTCATTGGTTTCCAGGAAGTTTTTAATTTCTTCCTTGATTTCCTCGGTAACCCATTCATTGTTTAATAACATGCTATTTAGCCTCCATGTGTTCAAATGTCTTTGCATGTTCTTGTTGCAATTGATTTCTAGTTTCATGCCTTTGTGATCTAAGAAGATGCTTGATATGATTTCAATCTTCTTGAACTTGTAGAGATTTAGTTTGTGTCCTATCATGTGGTCTATCTTTGAGAATGTCCTATGTGCACTTGAGAAGAATGTGAATTCTGTAGTTTTGGGGTGTAATTCTCTATAGATATCTATTAAATCCATTTGGTCTAGTGCTTCATTTAGAGTGTCTGTTTCCTTGCTAATTTTTTGTCTAGAGGATCTATCCAGTGCTGTCAACGGGGTGTTGAAGTCCCCTGCTATGATTGTATTGCTGTCGATTTCTCCTTGGAAGTCCTCCAGAAGACTTTTAATATGTTTTGATGCTCCTATATTGGGTGCATATATGTTTATCAAGGTTATATCTTTCTGTTGGATAGATCCTTTCAATATTATGTAGTGGCCTTCTTCATCTCTAGTTATGGCCTTCATTTTGAAATCTATTTGATCAGATATGAGTATTGCTACCCCAGCTTTTTTTTGCTTTCCATTTGCTTAGAAAATTTTTTTCCATCCCTTCACTTTCAACCTATGTGAGTCTTTTGTTGTGAGGTGGGTCTCTTGTAAACAACATATAGATGAGTCATGCTTTCTTATCCAATCAGCTACTCTGTGTCTTTTTATCGGAGCATTCAGTCCATTTACATTTAAGGTGATTACTGATATGTACTTGTTTATTGCCATTTTTGTTTAGTGTGGTTATATTTTTCTTCCTATTTCTTCTACTAATTACAGTAGTCCTTTTAACATTTCTTGCAGTGCTGGTTTGGTGCTAATGTATTCCCTTAGCCTTTTTTTGTCTGGGAAGCTCCTTATTTGACCTTCTATTTTGAATGATAGCCTTGCTGGGTAGAGTAGTCTTGGATTCAGATCCTTGTTTTTCAGGACCTTGATTACTTCATGCCATTCCCTTCTGGCCTGTAGTGTTTCTTGTGAGAAGTCAGCTGAGAGCCTTAATGGGTTTTCCTTTGTAGGTGACCTGTTGCCTGTCTCTTGCTGCTTTTAGGATTCTCTCTTTGTCTTTAATTTTTGGCATTTTAATTACTATGTGTCTTGGTGTGGGCCTGTTTGGGTTCTTCTTACTTGGGGCTCTCTGTACTTCTTGAACTTGAATGCCTTCTTCCTTCACCAAATTATGGAAGTTTTCTCTCACTATTTCTTTGAATATATTCTCTAACCCTTGCTCATTTTCTTCTTCTTGGGGGACTCCTATGATGCGAATATTATTACGTTTCCAGTTGTCCCACAGTTCTCTTAAGCTGTCTTCCTGTTTTTAAATTGTTTTTTCCTTTTGGTTTTCTGATTGGTTGATTTTTTTTCTACCCTGTCTTCTAATTCACTGATCCAGTCCTCAGCTTCCTCTACTCTGCTTTTAGACCTTCCCATGTGTTTTTCATTTCAGATATGTCATTTTTTATCTCTTCTTGGTGGTTTTTAATTTCCAATTGGTTTATTTTCAGCATCTCTATGTCCTTACCCATGCTGTTGAGCTTCCTCAAGATCATGGCTCTGAATTCTAGCTCTGTTAACTTGCCTAACTGCTCCACATTGATCTCATCTTCAGTGGAGGTCTCTTGTTCTTTCATTTGGTTTCTGTTTTTGTGTTTCACCATTTTGGCTATCACAGTGGGCTTTGGAGCCTGTCAAGTTTTCCCTGTGGGTGTTGGTGTTCTGCTGTTTGTGGCTCCTTCTCCTGGGTTTAGGTGAGTGGGGAAGGACCCACGTTAAACACCACTGACAAGTCTTACTTTCCTAGTTAAAGTGGCTAGCCCAGGAAAGGTACTCTTATTCTCTAGCTTTTTGCCTGGAGGCTAGCAGTCGAGGTTATGTGAAGAGTTTTAGGTTGTCAGTTGATTGAAAAACTCCCTCAGGTGCTCAGCATAAGGGGATTTCCTGAGGGTGGAGCAGATGCTGGTTGTTAATGAGCCTCAATTAGCATTTCAATGGCCCACAGGGTGGGGTTGGATCTTCGAGGGAGGGATTGCTGCCTCTCCCCAGAGCCCTGGGAAGGAGCAATATGGCCACTGTCCTGCGTGGCAGCAATTCAGCAAAAGCTCTGAGCGCCCTCCAAATCCCGAGTGTCTCCGCACAGTTCCAGTTCAGTCTGCCCTCCCTCTGCCTGAGCCCAAGGTGACTGGCTGTGGCTATTTTAGCCTCTGTCCCGGCTCTGTGCTGTGGAGCCGCTTGGGACTTGAACCCGAGGGCACTGCTCACAGCTAAGGCCGCTGCCGAGCTGCCCACCGTGGGCTCCCAGCCCCCGTCTCGCGCCTTCACAATTCTACCAGGATCGAGTCAGTGTCCCTGGTTATATGGTCCTCGCAAGATGCTTTTCTGTTGCTTTTTCCCGTAGATTTGTCTGTGTTATAGTTGTAATTCCAGTTTGGTTCTGGGAGACCGTCTGTGTAGCTTCCGTTCACTCCATCGCCATTTTGGATCTTCACCAATAATAGGGTTATTTTATGTTATGAAGTATGTTGAATAGCTTTAAAGTTTCAACTAAAATACGGCCCAGAATTAACACATCCCTTAGACATCAACCAGAGTTTTATTACTAGGCAATCACAGTAGATAATGTATTATTTTATACATGTATGGTATTGAGGTCTCTCAGACTGACTTTTGCCCACTACTGTCACTCTAAAGACGACAGAATATGTTTTAGGTTGATTTACAGTCATCTTAAAATCATCCATGTATCAGCCATTTTGCCACTTGTAGCCTAAAATTCTTCAAAGATAAGTAGGCCATATATTGTCTATAAAATATCTTTAACCCTGGCAGGTTTGGTTCAGCGGTTAGAACGTCGGCCCGCGGACCAAAGAGTCCTGGGTTTGGTTCCCACTAAGGGTACATACCTCGGTTGCAGTTTTTCCCTGGCCTCGGTTGGGGTTGTGTGGGTCGCAGCCAGTTGATGTGTCTCTCTCTTCCTCCCTCTCTCCCTCCTGCTCTATCTGAAGATAAATATAAAAATGTCCTCGGGCGAGGATAAAAAAATAAAGTATCTTTATAAACACTTGATGATTGCAATCTATTTTTAAGAAATAAAAGTTATAAGTCACCCTCATAAAAAGTAAGGTTTATTATTTTTTACCTTCAGATCAGCGGCGGATGTCTGAAATTACAGGGCATCTAATAAAGATGAGATTGGGTGATCTGGACCGAGTCAAGTCAAAGGAATCAAAAGAAGTAAGAATCATGTACTAGTGTATGGTGCTTGCTTAGATATGCCTTTCTACTTTATTATTTTTTTTAATAGTTTATTTTATTTTTTTATCCTCACCCGAGGACATTTTTCCATTTTTTGTTCAGATAGAGTGGGAAGGAGAGAGAGAGAGAGAAATTGACGTGAAAGGGACACATCGAGTGGCTACCACCCGTACAACCAACCAAGGCCGGGGACAAACTGAAACCGAGGTACGTGCCCTTAGCGGGAACCAAACCCGGGTCTCTCTGAACTGCAGGCTGACGCTCTAACCGCCGAGCCAAACTGGCCAGGGCCCTACTTTATTTTTAAAGATTTTAAAAGAATAATTGAAATATTTTTATATTCTGTACCAATTAGCGAGTTCATTCACATAGAAGTTTTCTGCTGCCCTGGCCGGTTTTGCTCAGCAGTTAGAGCATCGGCCCACAGACCGGAGAGCTCTGCGTTCAGTTCCCGCTAAGGCACATACTTCGGTTGCGGTTTGTCCCTGGCCCTGGTTGAGGTCATGTGGGTGGCAACCACTCAGTGTGTCTTCTCACATCAATGTTTCTCTCTCTCTTCCCTCCTCTCTCCCTCCCGCTCTATCTGAAGATAGATGCAAAAATGTCCTCGGGTGAGGATTAAAAAAAAAGTGTTCTGCTACTTCTTATTATCCATGGTTTATAGGTCCTCATACCACACATAATAAAGTACTTTATCACTGAAAGTGTAATGTCACACCAAGGGTAAGTTAACTATGCATTGTTGAACAGATCCAGAGGGTGACTTTCAGGAAATTACTGATTTTGATCAACCCTACATGCAGTGTTTAGATGTTATGTCTAAAATAAGATATTATCTTGCTGAAAATGATGATTAGAAATACCTATGGTCTTACTAGAATTACATACTAGTCATAACATTAAGTGTTATTATAGTATTAGTATTATTTAATTATAATAACTCTTTTCTCTATTTTTTATTTAAAAATTTACTTCCCTATAAAACTTCTAAAAGGAAATATGGGGAAAAAAATCTTTGTGACCTGGGTTAGGCAAATATATCATAGTTATAACACCAAAAAACATGATCCATGAAAGAAAAAAATTGACACATTGGATTTCATCAAAATTTAAAAGTTCTTCTTTTTGAAAGACACTATTAAGAAAATGAGAAGAGCCCAGCCAGTGTGACTCAGTGGACTGAGCATCGTCCCATGAATTGAGAGATTCTGGTTTGATTCCCAGTCAGGGAACATGCCCAGGTTTTGGGCTCGATCCCCCCAGTATAGGGGTTGTACAGGAGGCAGTTGATCGATGTTTCTCTCTCACATTGATGTTTCTATCTTTCCCTCCCTCTCTCTCTAGAAAAATCAATTTAAAAATATTAATTAAAAAATGAAAAGACACCTGGTCGGTGTGGCTCAGTGGTTGAGCATCAACCCATGCACCAAGAGGTTGCCGGTTCGATTCCTGGTCAGAGCACATGCCCAGGTTGCAGGCCCGATCCCCAGTGGGGGGGCATGCAGGAGGCAGCCAATCAATGTTCTCTCTCATCGATGTTTCTGTCTCTCCCTCTCCCTTTCTCTCTCTCTAAAAATAAATAAAGAAAAAAAAATTTTTTTAAATAAAAAGACAAGTCATAAGCTATGAGAAAATATGTTTAAAACATCTGGTAAAGGATTTGTGTCCAGAATATATATCTATAATGCACTCTCAAAAATCAATAATAAAATAAAGCAATCCAGTGAAAAGATTAAACATCCACTTCTTTAAAAATAATACATAGAGCCCTGGCCGGTTTGGCTCAGCGGTTAGAGCGTCGGCCTGCGGTCTACAGAGACCGGGGTTCGGTTCCCGCTAAGGGCACGTACTTCGGTTGCAGTTTGTCCCCGGCCCTGGTTGGTCGTGCGGGTGGCAGCCACTCGATGTGTCCCTTTCGCATCGATGTTTCTCTCTCCCTTCCTCTCTCTCCCTCCCACTCTACCTGAATAAAAAATGGAAAAAAAAAAAAAAAATTAAAAAATAATACATAGAAATGAGCACATGAAATGATGCAACATTAGTCATTCGGGAAATGTAAATTAAAACCTCAATGATACATCAGTATATACCAACTAGAATGTCTAAAAAAAAATTTTTTTAAACATGCTGGCAAGGATATAGAGCGACTGGAACTCTCATCCCTACCAAGTAGGGATGCCAAAGGAACTTTGGAAAACAGTTTGGCAGTTTCCTATAACAAGCTACTGATATGCAACAACATAAATGAATCTCCTGTACATTATGCTAAGTGAAAGAAGCCAGATGCAAAAGTCTACAGACTGTATAATTCTATTTATATAATGTTCTGGAAAAATGCAAAATGGAGGGTCATAAAACAAATCAGTGATTCCAAGAATTGGTAGTATCAAATCAGTTGACTTAAAAGAGGCACAAGAGGATTTTCTTGGGGTGAAGGAACTATTCTATGTCTCCAATGTAACAGTGGTTCACAACTGGATGCATCTGTCAGAACATAATGTTTACTAAAAAGGGTGAATTTTAATGTATGTAAATTATAAGTCAAAGAGCCTGTATTTTCAAAAGTCCAAATAAAGTTACTTGTAAGTTAAAAAGGAATGCCATTTTAATAAAGCACAGCTTCTATTGATTCTGTAAAGATAATGACTGAATTTGGCTTCTTTACTCTGCAGTTTGCAGGAGGTATTTATTCCAGGCTTGAAGCGCAAATCAAGGCCTCAGTGCCAGTCAGCGCTCGGCAGGGAAGCTCAGAGAAAAACACGCGGTAAGTCAGCATAACTGGATTCGGAGTACCACTGGCTTTTAAGTGAGTTTTGTTGTTGTTGTTGTTGTTAGGGAAAATTATATGACACTAGAAGCACATAATTTGAGTTTTGTTTTGTTTTGTGTCAAGGATTAGACCAAGACATTAATAAGAACCAGATTTTACAAAATTTAATGAAGATATAGCTTTTTCAAGTTTTCTGTTTATTGATTCAGCTCTATTCTGACCCAACTGTTGATAAAAATGTAAGTGATAGTGCTACTGTGAATTAGCAGAACTTTTGTAGATTATATATTATTACTTTAGATAAATCATTGAAGTCTTTTTCATTCTTTTATTTCTCTCATAAAAATCCAATTTGTGGGTCCTCTGTTATTTTACATCACACACTTTCTTTTAAAGATGAACAGTTATTGAGATTTGATCATTAATACTACAGATCCAAAAGACTTACCTGCAATGCAGAAATCCAGAAAGCTCAGAAAGCCACCAGATGCTTTTCATATGTCTGTGTCAGCTCAAACCTAAACCAAACTACTATGATGCTATTTGTAGTTTTTATTTATCTCACTTAATGTAAATGTTCATTTGTTTCACTGTGAAGAAACATTAATGTGATTAGGGGGCACTGCTCCAGGTCCATAATATACAATATATGTACCATATTATCTCCCCACAATAAAATAAAAATATCAGAATTCCAAAATATCTCTCACCCCAAGGGTTTTTAAAAATGGATTATGGAGCTACATAAAGTTTCATTAAATGTTGATACTGTCAAGCAAGTATAACCTAAAGCAGCAGTAACTTCCTATTGTTTTAGAAGCACCTCTGACCTTCTTTCCTGTTTGAAAAATCTAGGTCTAAAAGCCGTTTTGGTCCAGGGCGTCCTGCATAAAGCACCTTAACATGTAACTAAAAAGGCAGAAGACACACCTCTGGACATCCGAAATTGCTCACCTCTTGAAGATCTTCAGAACAATGACTTCTGAATGTTTTAAGTTATTTATTAATTATTCATGCAAACCACATAAATCATAATGCTAAGGGAAGCATCTAATTAGGTCTTATGAAATCTAATTGTAAATAGGAAACTTCTTAAATCTAATTTTCTTTTGGTGTGATGCTAGGCTATATAGAAAATTAGTATTTACAAGTTTGTTAAGACTCCTAATATTAATTGATTTATTTGAAAGAGAAGAGGCCTGAACTCTGGAGTAGGTAAGATTTTTTAAGACCTTCACCAATTAGGGGAACAGACCTGGTAGTGGTAGCGTGCACGTGGACTGATTGTAGTATGTCTTCTATGAATTATGGGATAGCATTAAGCACTGCAATTTGTGTGATGAAATTCCCAGTGATACTAATTCTAAGTTTGCATGGATATTAAGGAGTGATGTATCTCAAGACTGCATTAATAAAGTGTCATGTGAGGTATTTCTTGTGTTGGGCAGAAGGATTAAATATTTTCAGCATATTCCATGGAAAGCACAATGTCAATCAAACTTTTTTTTTCTTTTGGTTTTTAATGCTTATCTATTGGTCATCTGAACTGGAATTACTGATTATTAACTCTCCTGACACTAGTGAAGCTAGTGTTTCCTGATTTCTTTAAAATAACTTTTGATAGTTGTATGAGACACCCACTGTACAGTTCTCAGTGTTCTGAAACCCAACCACATTTCTACAGCCATTCAAATAGCCCTTTCAAACAGTTATAATTGCTTTAGAGCTGTCTAGAAGGAAAGATTCCCAAATGCATTTGATGGATGAAAAATTACATATATCTGAGCAAAATCAAAATAAAATGCTATAGTCATGTTTTAGTTTTTCCAACCAAGCAGAAAGAGTGCTCAGGGAAAATTTGTTCCAAACGATAAGCATATGAAAAAGTATGTGTTGGAAATTATTTACATATAGGTCTCTTTAAACTTTAAGATGCACTGTTTCTAATTTAAATGAAAATTTGCCTTATAATTGAAATTTCTTCAAATGATTTAGAGAACAGCCGTTAATAATGTGTGAAAGAACAGCAATTTCTATTGAAATGTTAAAGTGTTACACTCAATATACACATACAGAAACCATTATTTTTAGTGAGTGTTTTAGTTGATAAATTAAGTTAGATTTCATTTGATGTTATATGTATGGCCTGACCAAGGCTTTTGAACTTCTATTGGAAAATTTTGTTGCAGTTTATATATTTTTCAATTTATATTTTTGAAACCAATTATAAAATTTTTATTTTTAAAAGAAAATGTTTTATAGTACATGATCTTTACTATGATCCTACATGATCTGTAAGCTCTACTAAATACCAGTCTTTCGCTTAGTTTACTATATTCTCTGATGTAAAGGATTTAGGTATACACATGTTATGTAGTGCTGTGATAGTCACAACCAGAAGAAGAAAATATGCTCTTTTGTTTTTTAACTTATAATAAGAAGGCAAAATGCTTCTCCCCTGGGGAGACTGTACCACTGAATTTACTTTTACAAACCACAGTTGATCAGAATTTGATTCTCTTCAGAAGGTGCTTTTTATTTTGTTAATGTCTGTCGAACATATCATAGGTGCCACATACACTTGGTAATATTTTTCTTGCCAAATACTTTGAGGTTTTACTTTACATTAATTCTGAATTCACATTTCTGTTATTGAAATAAACATTAGTGACAAAAGTAGTCTGAAAAGTCCTTTAACCTGAATCATTCCATCTTCTCAGAAGGTCTGAAAGGTTTTTATGGAAAAGGAGAATTTTGTACATTTTAAGATGGTTTTAAATGAGATTATCCTGATAAAGATGCAGCAAAATGTTTATGGGGTAAAATACTGCAGAAAAGATCATCTGGTAACAAACCGTGTTGATTCTACACTGCTGCGTCAGCTTGTTTCCTTCTTCAGAATGCTCAGCCGGATATTGTGAGATGTGCTACTTAGTTTGGAAGCTGAGACTAAAGCCCTATCATGCTAATCTGCTAAAGGCATATTTTAATATAAAAACAAAAATATCTTTCATCTCCAATACCTGGAATTAATTATTTAGTCAACCTTCAGCTATTCATTGAGGAACTATTATGAATCTCACCTTCTCACACCTTTCAGTTAAAAGTCACTGGGATGTCTAGTCAATCCACTTCCAGTAGGTTAACTCTCCCGCTTTTTTTTTTTTTTTTCCTTTATTGACTTCAGAGAGAGAGGAAGTGAGAGGGGGAGAGAGAGAGAGAGAACATCGATTGGCCGCTTCCTGCATAAAATAAAAAATTTTAAAAATAAATAAATAAAAAATGTCCATACTACCCAAAGCAATCTATAGTTTTAATGCAATCCCCATCAAAATACCAATGACATATTTCACAGAGTTAGAATGAATACTCAAAAAATTTATATGAAATCAAAAAAGACCCCGAATAGCCACAGCAGTCTTGAAAAAGAAGAACAAAGTAGGAGGGATCACAATACTGGATATCAGATTATACTACAAAGCCATTGTAATCAAAACAGCCTGGTACTGGCACAAAAACAGGCATATAGATCAATGGAACAGAACAGAGAACCCGGAAATTGACCCAAGACATTATGCTCAATTAATATTTGACAAAGGTGAAAAGAGCATACAATGGAGTAAAGAGAGCCTCTTTAATAAGTTGTGTTGGGAAAAATGGACAACTACATGCAAAAAAATGAAACTAGACCACCAACTTATAACCATACACAAGAATAAACTCAAAATGGATAAAAGACTTAAATGTGACTTGTGAATCCATAAAAATCCTAGAAGAAAATGTAGGCAACAAAATCTCAGATATCACTCGCAACAGGATTTTCACTGATACAATGCCTAAGGCAAGAGAAAGGATAAAATTAATACATGGGACTATATCAAACAAAAGCTTCTTCACAACAAAAGAAGCATCAAAATGGAAAGGGAACCCACTATATGGGAGAGCATAATTGCCAATGATACATCAAATGAGGGGTTAATTTCCAAAATATATAGAGTACAGATACAACTCAACAAAAGGAAGACAAAGAATCCAATTTAAAAATGGGCAGAGGCCTAAATAGACACCTTTCTAAAAAGGACATACAAATGGCCAAGAAACATATGAAAAAATGCTCAATGTCACTAATCATCAGAAAGATGCAAATTAAAACGACTATGAGGTATCACCTCACACCTGCCAGAATGGCTGCCATCAACACATCATCAAACAACAAGTGCTGGAAAGTGTGCAGAAAAGGGGACCCTAATACACTGCTGGGGGGAATGCATACTGGTGCAGCCACTGTGAAAAACAACATGGTGTTTCCTCAAAAACTTACAAATTGAACTGCCATTTGACCCAGTGATCCCAATTCTAGGAATATATCCTAAGAACTCTGAAACACCAATCAGAAAGAATATATGCACCCCTATGTTCATAGCAGCACTATTTACAATTGCTAAGATCTGGAAACAGCCTAAGTGTCCATCAATAGATGAGTGGATAAAAAAGCTGTGGTACATGTACACAATAGAATACTATGCAGCTGTAAGAAAGAAAGATCTCTTATCCTTTGAGATGACATGGAGAGACCTGAAGAGTATTATGCTCAGCAAAATAAGCCAATCAGAGAAAAACAAATACCACATGATCTCACTTATTTGTGGAATATAATGAACAAAATAAGTTGATGAACAAAACAAACCCAGAGACATAGAAAGGAGTATAGTTCAGACTGACAAACTTCAGAGGAGTGGGAAAAGGGGAGGCATGAGATAAACCAAAGAACTTCTATGCATGTATGCCTAACCAATGGACATAGACAACAAAGTTTGGGAGAAGGTCTCTGGGGGGAAAAGGGAGAAACATCTGTAACAAAAATTAATTAATTTAAAAAATCTATTAAAAAAAGAAAATACTTAAAAATAAATTTAACAAAAAATGTAAAACGTATTCTGAAAACTATAAAATATCATTGAAAGAAATTAAAGAAGAGTTAAATAAATGGAAAAACTATTTCATGTTCACAGATCACAAAATTTAAATGTTAAGATGGCATGAGACTCCTCATAGTTTCACCACTATTCCTATCAGAATCACAGCTGGTTCTTTGTAGAAATTGACAAGCTGATTCTAAAATTCATATGGAAACTCAATGGACCCAGAACAGCCAAAACAATTTTGAAAAAGAACAAAGAGGAATCACTCTTTCTGTTCTAAAATCTTATATATATTTCAGTGGAACAGAATTGAGAGCCAAGAAATAATTGTCAACAACAGTGCCAAAACGGTTCAATAGGGAAAAAATAGTCTTCTACAAATGGTGCTGAGACAACTGGATAGCCTCATGCAAAAGAATAAAGTTGGACCCTTACCTCACTCCATGTACACACACACAAAAAAGATTCTAAATGGATTAACAGCCTAAATGTAAGAACAAACACAATTAAGAAAGTGAAAAGACAGCTAACAGAACTGGAGGAAATGTTTACAAGTCATATGTCTAATTAAAGGGACCTCTTTTCAGAATATATAAAGAATCTTTACAATTCAACATTAAAGAGACAACCCAGTTTTTTAAATGATAAAGGATTTGAATAGACATTTCTCCAAAGAAGATATACAAATAGCCAATAGCACTTTATAAGTTCCTCAACATCATTAGCCATCAGGAAAATGCAAATCAAAACCACAATGAGATACCACTTCACACCTAGTAGAATGGCTATAATGAAAAGCCACCTAATGACTTGTAGAGAATGTGGCAAGATTGGACCACTTATACTCTGCTAGTGACAGTGTAAAATGGTGCAACTGCTTTGGAGAGCAGTCTGGCAGTTCCTCAAAAAAATTAAACATAGAGTTACCATTTGCCCATCAATTTATCATAACAGGTATATCATTTTGTATCTGTCTCATCTTGTGTTTACCCATATGCATAAATTCATGCATAGGGCAGTATTATTTACTTTTTTTATACAGAAGGAGAAACAGACCCAGAGACGGCAACGTGTCTTAAGAGGAACAGAAAAGAATGATCAACGCAGCGTGTTTTTCATGACAGTACTGCTGTGTTAAATGAGGTCATACATACAGGTAAAGCACTAAAAATACTGCCTGACATATAGTAAGTGCTCAAAAGATATTATTATTAGACCACATGAAAGACTTTTAGAAATAAGTATATTGTGCTCATTTCTGTTTTTGACCTTGGCTCATGTTTTCCCACCTAGATTGTTGTCCTTTTGTTTTGCTGCTTATCAAAAATTTCCCCTGGCTTTATGTCCCTGCTCAAATCTCCATGAATCTGCTGGTCTCCCTCTTCTCTGAATTATATTGCACTCACAACATTGCCACAGGTTAGCAGTCACATGTTCTTATTGATTTTTTTTGTTGGTCTTGAGTCCCCAACCAACTCTTATGCTCTGCTAGTAATATTTTATATATAGGTGATCCTTGAACAATGAGGGAGTTAGGAG